GAGGGAAAAGTCAACCATGGCCAATTTACAGTCAAACTTCATAATTTTTTATCCACATCAACATTTTAGACTCATATGTACCATTTGATCAAGTTTGGATCACAACTCCTCAAGAAATTTGATCAAATCATCAAAAGGGCAAAATGGTCAAAATTAGGGTTTTGACTGAGAAAGGGCAATTTCTGATTTTTAACCTAGCCAATGACCAATTGAGTTCAAAAATGATTTCAAGGGTTCAATGGCATCATCTTGACCTAATTACATGGTTCAAAAGATCTCAAGTTTATTGGATTGACAGATGAATTTTGCAGTCAACTGATCAAAAGTCAACTGTACACCGAAAAGTCAAACTTTGACTTTTTGGTCAAAATCAAGTGCCAAGGGTCACAATTCATCAAGATATGTCAAAATATGAAACTTGTTCACCAAGAAAACCAATTTTTAAAATTAGGGTTTTGAATTTGAAAATTTTCATAACTTAGAATTTTTCTAAGTATGAAATTTTTCTTATTTTTTTCCAACTTTTCACCACTTTTTCACCATGATGAATTTTGATTCAAAGAAAACTTCAAACATGAAAGTTGTAGTCCTCCATGAAATATAAAACTTTTCTTCACAAACTTTTCCTAAAAGATGCTTGTATCTCAAGTTATGAATTTATGAACATGGGTCCATGAACTTCTTAACTTAGTGAAATTTTGCCCTAATTTAGGCAGGTTTTAGACCCAACTTCATGGCAATTTTTCACCTAGTTCCAAGAGGTATCTCAAGATGCATTTAAAAGATGGATTATAGATCACATTGCAATCTTTCCAACATGTCCAATAACTCTCCAAGATCATTTTTGAGTAGGGAGAATCGAAGAAGGGAAGTTGGCATTTTATCACTTTTGATCAAGCCATTTTTACAAAGCATCAAGTTGCAAATTAGATCCATGTTGTTTGTATCTTGCTTTACAGGTCCTAAACTCACTTTACACTCCATAATTAAATGCAAACTCAGAAGTTAAAGGCTTTATCTTTGCTTTTGAAGCTTTGTACAAGATACATTTCCATTTTTGGCCAAAAGTGCATAATGCCATTTTCATAAGGGCAACTTTTGCAACTTTGTCAATCTTGAGCCTTGGACCTGTCCCTTTGGTGCAAGCAACTTCTACAGGTCTCAAGAAAATTGTACCAATTCTTACCAGCCCTCAAGCTAGCCAGTACAAGCATGTAGCATTGGTCACTTCACTTTACTTCAAATGCAAGAAAGGTTGCCAAAAGGTCAAAAACTTGTATAGCTAGTAAGAAGTGGACTTTGTATCATTTCTTTACAAATATACAAAGTTGTGGCAAGGCTTAGAATGATAGTGTTGAAGCTCAAACACTCTAAAACTCAAAAACACCCAAATACTGTCCAAAAACTCAGAATCTGCAAAACCATAGCCAACACTCATTTGGCTCATGCGTTTTGTTTTTTAAACACTTGAAACATCTCATACACATCATACCAAAGCAATCCAAGCCATCACCCTGGTTTTGTAACCCCTGTTTCAGCCTTTGCCATTTTCAACCTTAAAGCTTGCAGCTTGACTTGTGCTGAAAGTTCCAGCCATTCTCAAGGCAAGATAAGCATTGGATTAGCTTCAGGGAAGTCCAAGGAAGCTCAAACAATCCTCAGGCCTCCATTAAAGTCCCTACATTGCTCTACTCAAATCCAACTGAAGGAGGTATTTTCTTAAAATCTATCTCTCTGAATAGGCATCCTCAAGCCACGATTTGTGAAGAAAAAATATAGTCTTTATCATAACGAAGCTGTACATATGCATACTTTTCATTTATATTAACTATGCTCAGAGATTTTGAAGATTGAAAATGCTAAAATTTTTAGGTCATGAATTAGGGCTGCTAAAATTCTCTCTGATCTTTGAGAGTTAGGTTACAAAATTTATATTGTTGGAATCGTGAGCTCAAGTACCACATGTTTCATGTTATGAGTTTTTGTTTTTGTGCAAGCATGAGAGAGTTGCAGGTTTGAACTAGTGCGCGAAGAAGAAGGTTGGCCAGAAGACAGGGATGAAGCGCGCTTGGGCTTTTTGCCGCCTGGCCTTTTTTATTTTTGCTATCAGACCCCCTGATTTACTTTTACACCCCCTGACTTATTTTTTTTTCTTTCATATTTTTTCCGTATTTTCATATTTATAGCTCTTATTTATTTTTTCTGAATGATAAAAATCTTTCAAATAATTTCTTTATTTTTTGCAATTTTTATTTTATTTTTTTATTATTTTTTTACATAAAAATTATTTAATTTAATAGAATAGATCTTCTTTTCTTAAAATAACTTGTAAATATATTTAAAAATACTTAATATTTTTATTATATTATTTATATTCATAAATACTTATTTTTATACATATTTAATTTTTAATATTTGCATATAATATTATTTATTATTTTCTTGTACAAAAAATGGACAAAATAATAACATAAAACATTATTTTCTTTTAATTAAAAATTAGGGTTTCACCCCACCAAAAATAATATTATTTTTCTTATAATTTCTAGGGTTTAAATTAAATTATTTTTCATACAAAAACCAAACACAAAACATTTTTTACATAAATACATTGCATTACATTTTAAATACTTGTATTATTTATTTAATTCGCACAATATTCGATTGGGTTGTAATAATATATTTAGGTTTATATTTGTGAAAAATCCCCATTCAAAACTTGTATCCCCCCTCCCATAATAATTGTTGCAATAGCTTAGTTTATTTTACACAATTTATCGCTTTTATACCATGTTTAGTAAATTAGGGTTTGCATGACAAGAACAAAAACAAAACAAATAGAAAACCCTAAATGCAAGACAAAAGCATGAAAAATGACACACTTTGCACACAAGCACCCTTAGGGTCTCTCCCATTTGGTTGACTAAAATAAAATAGCCATGTTACGCATGCGAAGTATCTTGGCAAAACAAAACAAAAATAAGATCATAGTCCCTCGATGACGCTATTCAAAAGGTTGCCTAAAACAAAATGATCTTGGTCCCTCAAAAATGCTAAGATACTTGGTAACATTTCTATCATGGCTATATGATGACCCACGCCCGTCCCGTTTACATCCAAAGGTAGGGTTGCTTATCAAATCAATGGCAAGTCAACAATGTCAAAGGAATAAAAAATGCACAAGAAAGACATTTGAGTAAGTAGATAGCTTCTAGTTACTTGTTACATTTCAAAATAATCCTTGCTATTTTTAAACACACACACACATTTCAAAACATTGAAAACATTTTCAAAAGATAAAACATCTTTGTATACCTTCTTACAAACGAGAATCATTACAAAGATTACCTAAACAATTGGCCTCTTTTCAAAATACTTTAAAAATCACATCAAACACCATTTCAAACAAAGCAAAGAAAGTGATTTAAAGAAGTAACTAAGAGCCCATGGAAAACCATGGATGAAAAGGGTGCTAGCACCTTTTCTTTTTATAATCTACCCCCCGAACTCAAGAAAACATCTCAAAGGTCTTTCCTGTGATTTTTTACCTTTCCTTTTTTTGGATAAAATAAAAGTCGGTGGCAACTCTTGCTAACCGCGACATTTGTGAACACAAACGCAAAACCTCAAGTCAGTTCTCCCACCGCATTACACTTGGCTTCTGCAACCGTTTGTGGGACTTCCTCAAAATTCTGACATGGTGTGTCAATGAACTCACCCTCTATCTCCACGTTCCTGAAAGAGTTCAGGTGGATAACCATGTATTCCTCCTCCCCATGGACAATGATGATCTTTCCCTTGATTGGGTATTTCAACATCTGATGTAGGGTAGAAGTGACGGCACCAGCGCTATGGATCTAGGGTCGGCCCAAAAGACAAGAATAGGAAGGGCAGATATCCATCACATATAAAGTTGAATCAAAAGTATGAGTTCCAACTTTTATAGGGATGTCAACTTCTCCATGCACTGTCCTCTTAGAACCATCAAAGGCCCTCACTGTAGCGGTGAAAATCGGAGATCAAGCTATTAATTAACTTGACTCACAAATAGCAAGAGTCGCCACCGCGCTTTATTATTTCCAAGGGAAAAGGGAAAAGAGCGAAATAAAACCCTAAAATATGCAATGTAAAATAATACTTAAAAGTAATAAAAATACAATGCGTTTTTTGAAAGAGATCGAGAGTTCGGGGGTTGGTTATACAATGGGAAGGTGTTAGCACCCAATGCATCTGCGGTACTCCGCAGGAACCTTTTGAAATATCTGTTTTTGGTTAAAATTGTTTGTTTAGTTAAATGGGTATGGATGAGATTTTGAAGATACGACGACATAGTGTTGAAGTTTTGACTTAAAAGGTATGAGTTTGAAAATGGAGTCTTTTGGGAAAATTATCTTAGGTTTAACAAAGTAGTAAACAAACAAAAGATGAATGAGGGTATTCGCACGATTGGATGAGATGTATTTGATGACGTGAAGTCAACAAATTTAAATCTTTCCCTTGGAGTTTAGACGGACGAACAAAATAAAATGGATGTCAAAATATGAACATTCGAAAATTCACAAGGAAATAAATCGAAAGACCCCAAAAAATTAAAATGACAAAGATATTTAAAAGAGAATGGAACCAATTATCTAAATTAAAATTCTAAGATTACTTACTAAAATAATTCTGAACTAATTACGAATTCTAAGGTTATAAAGAATAATTCTAAAATTACTAAATTAGATATAAACTAAATTAAAATTCTAAAGTTATTAAGTTAAATCTAAAATAACTAAAAATAATTCTAAAGTTACTAAAATAATCCTAAATGAACTTAAAATTACTAAAATAATTCTAAACTAAAATTATTAAGATTTGTCTAATTGAAACTACATGTTTCTTTCTAAGAAACTAACTAACCTAATTTAAATAAATTTAACTAAGGAAATAAAAATAAAATAAATAGCATGGGGGTATCAAACCGAAAAAAGGGGTGTAATGATAGGAATTCGGAATGACTAGAATAAGGGAAAGGCCCATATGAAGGAGGAGGTTGAATAATATTTGGATTTTTGATAGAGAATTACTTTTGAGAGAGCTAAGTATTGACCTGAATTGTGAGATGAGGTATACGGAGAAGGCGCAGCATAATCAGATCTGGATCCTTTTCCCTTTTTCTTTTTCTGTACAAAGAACACAGCGATACCAAGAAGGCTGAGGACAATTAAACTAACTACAACGCCAATAGTAACAGCAGCTCCGGTATTTAACCCTCCTGAATATGAAGGAGCGTTGTTTGTGGCTATATTATCAGAACCGTTAACACTTGGTATAGATGGAAATGGCACAATTGGACTGTCACCATGTACTGTTTCGTTAGTAGGAGTTGCTGCAGGTCCTGAAGTAAGAGTTGATGGCAATGTGGGTGGAGGTGGAACAGTTGAAGGGGAAGGAGGTGATTGAGAAACAGATGGAGGGGATGCATCATGTGAAGGAGGTGGTTGAGAAACTGATGGAGGAGATGCGTCACGTAAGGGAGGCAAAGGAGTACTTTTCGGTGGCTTTGCGTGTGGTGGTGCAGGTTGTGTTGAAGAAGGTTGTGAGCGTGGGTTGTTTGTTTAACAATGGAGGTTAGTTGTTTTGACAGAGGGCGAAAGGGAAGAAGAAGGTGGGTTGTAACGGTGAAGATTGAAGGGGTTTGCTGCTGTTTGATGGAGTCGAAACCTTGACTCGGAAGTTAAGGTTAGCCGCAACCAGAGCTTTGTGGAGAGAATTCAAGGCAGGAACAAGAACAGGAACAACATTTGGGATTGTGGAAAGAACCTCGCTCCCAACAGCTATTGCCATGATATTGGTGGACGGTACATAAGCAACTACATTTTTATTTATCCACGCAGCAGCTGCTGAAGGAGATTCTCCGATTCTCAATACCTCTTCATTGGTGACACCAACAATAACGTCAATGCTGGTGTTTGAAAGGGCTTGTAGTAAGTGCGCATTTGCATCATAAAGACGGACATGAGTAATCTGATGGGCTTTAAGAATAGAAACAATATTCGAAGCAGATGGCATATCAGAGACATCGGTGCCAATGTTTACCCCCACAAATGCACCAAATGTAGTGGTTAGCATAGCAGTAATGAGCAACAAAACACTTGCAAGCCAATTTTTAAGCTTCATCACATCCAGTATCACCTGATCTAGAAACCCTATGAGAGTTGAGTTGGTGGTATGTAGAACTAGTTGAGGTTGTTTTTGTGTTAGAAAGAGAAAAGAGGGATAATTGCTTTCTATTAGTTTCTCTTGTTATCCTTTACAAAGAAAGAAAGAAGTGTTAAAATAGGAAAATTCAGAGGAAAAAAATATCAGATTTTCAAATCGTTTTGGCAATTTTTTGTATCGATCCGTAAATTCTGCCAGCAACCAATGAAAATCAAGCATAGTATATTTAATATTTTTTTGTGACTAAAAAGCCCTTTAATGACAAAAATAAAAATAAAACTTGAAAGTATAAAAAATAACTCAATTTAAAATGATTTTTTTGAATATTTCATGAATAAAAAATAAAGACCCAAAAATGATCGAAAATGATAAAAAACGGACGAAAATTTATCCGAAAAAATAAAATGAACACATTAAAATAATCTACATGTCACAAATATTAAAGAAAAAATATTCAAGAAGTCAAAAATCAAAAATAAAATAATAATAAAAATATTAGACTAAACAGACGTTTAAGGTTAAAAACGAGACTTCTAACTGTACCGAAAAAATAAAGCGAGCATACCGTCATAATCTACGCAAAACGCAGATTCATAAAATGATCAGTAAAAGGTGAAAACTTGAAATATTTTTTCTCACTAATTTTCGCACATTGTTGAATCGTTTTTAACAGTTTGTCTATAAAACCAAAATATTTTTATTATCAACATATAAACAACTTGGAGCAATGCAAGAAACGAGTAAAGAGATAAAAATGCATGGAGTGAAATGTCAAGTATTTTTTAACTAAAAGACGATGCAAACTTTGATTTAAACTGACTTTTCTGGTCAACTTAAATACGACTAATGATGCAAAATATGATGAATGAAGATATTTACTAATGACTGTGACCAAATGACAAAATATGGTATGAATGCGCGACTGAAAAAATTAGGGGCGAAATTTAGGGTGCAACAGTTGTGCCTTGATGAATCAGTCTTCGAGAATCCACAAACAACCGTTCTTCTGGCTTGGGAGACTCAAAACCTTAATTGAGGCGCGACACCTGATACTCTTGATTCAGACCTGTCTCTGCACATGAAGCAAAAGAAAACATGAACATACACCTTTGTATGGATTAGAAATTAGTGATACATAGGCTAAAAATGTTCAAAACACTTGACAAACTTCGCATAGTCAATGCTTGAAGGTGAGAGATTAAAACCGAATGTATTTAGTGACCTTGACTTATCTTTAAAAATGCAAAAAATAAAAATAGGATCTTAGGTAAAAAATTGGGGTACAACACTCACCACAATGTTGCTAGGCTTTAAAGTGAGTCCCTCGCAATCTAGCCGGTCAAGAGCATTCTTGGGCAAGAAATTCAGTGATGACCCCATATCCACCAGTATGTGAGCTAATGTAGTTCCCATGCACTCAATGGAAACATGCAAGGCATTATTGTGTTTCCTTCCTTTGGGAGTTAAGTCGGCGTCATAAAAACCCAATCTGTTATCAACAGTTAGGCTGGCCACACAATTCTCAAATTGATTAATGGAAATCTCTTGGGGTATATGGGCGGTCTTTAAAAAATTTACCAAGGCCTTGGCATGAGCCTCAGAACACAAGAGTAAGGCCAATATTGATATTTTCGAAGGGGTCTGCCCCAACTGTTCCACGATGTTGTAGTCACATTTCTTGATTTTTTTTAATATCTCTTCCATCTCTTTGCTAGAAGCTTCAAGAATGACCTATGGATGTTCCTTCTTCTAGGCAGGCTCAAATAATACCTCCTTTCCCCTTGTCTTAGAAGCAAGGATAACAGTAGGATTGTCAACGGGAGTATCACTGGGAATGCTGATAGGAGCGGTAGCGAGAATAATTACAGGAGTAGCAATGGTCTTTGGAGAGATCTCGAGTGAGAAGACTCTTCCACTTCTTTTTATCTTACTGGTCCCAACGATATTGATGACATCAGGACCTGTGTATTTCACAACTTTGTCTTTGATAGCCAACAGATCTTGCTTGACGCCATGATAATAGACGTCAACCCCATAGTTCCAGGGAACAACTTTTTCTGAATAATATGGTATTAGCCTTGGCTTGGTGATGATTAAGGGAGAAGACTTTGGAACAGATGTAATCTTGATGGGTCTTTTGGTGGAGACCCTGGGAGGATTATCGGAAATGGTGATTATTGAGACATCTTCACAGGAATTTCGGGTTAGAGGAACTTTTTCAAACAAGACTTCTTTGTTAGCCATCAGGCGTTATACGCCCATCTTCAATAACAAACAGCCATTTGGTAGAGACACACATAATCGACAACTTTCATCACAGTCTGGAAACAGACCGGCTTACAATAGATTCTGCTTAACAGTCAAAAGGGGAGTAGTTAAATCATCCACGGAGGAAACAAAACAATTATCATCAACATCGTTGATACCTTGACCATGTTTGGGCATTGGCACCGTTATTACATTAGGCGTTTCTGGGGGATCAAATCAATCTCTTTCGCCTCGATAAGGTCTTGTACCTTATTCTTCAAGGCCCAACAATTGTTTGTATCATGCCCCAGACTTTCAGAATGATAACACATCGAGCATTCGGGTTGTACCGAGGAGAAGCGGTATTGGGGTTCTTGGGAGCTTCCTTTAGGGTCACCAGATTGGACTTCAAAAGATGTGGCAAGACTTTGGACAAGGTCATGTTAATTCGGGTGAATTGTCTCATGGGTGCCTCTGGTCTGCGTTGATAATTTCATTGCTGATTTGGTACAGGATTAGAAATCATAACAGCCCTTACCGTCGGGCGACATTCAGTTTTGTTTTGATTCCTATGGTCATATGCAAAACTGACCTCCTTCTTTTTGGTAAAGGGTTTCTTTATCTTGCTTGGGGATACATCTCTTTGAATTTTGCCACTCTTTATATCGGCTTCTCCCGTTCACCAGTCATGATTAGTTCAGTAAATCCAGCCGAGGAGCTTTCGATCAGGTGGTTGAAGAATGGAGTAGATAGCGTGCCTAAGAACATATCAACCAATTCTCTGCCAGATAGAGGGGGTTGGACTCTTCCTGCGAGATCCCGCCATTTTTGAGCATAGGTTTTGAAACCTTCACCAGCACCCATAGACATGCCTTATAATTGTGTTCGAGTTGGAGCTAAGTTAGCATTATATTGATATTGCTTGTAAAAAGCGGCAGCCAAATCTTCCCAATTGCGAATATTGGTCCCTTCCAAATGATAGAACGAATCCAACTGCGTCCCTGACAGGCTTTGTTTGAAGAAATGCACCCATAGGTTCCTATCAGCAGTATGGGGTTGAATCTTCCTGACGTATGACCTTAAATGCAGCTTTGGAAAAGAGACACCGTCATATTTAGCAAAAGTGGGGACCTTGAATTTCTGCGGGATGACAACCCCTGATACAAGTCCTAGCTCTTCAAAATCCAACCTAGGTACCCTCTGGATCTCCATAGTACTGAGGCGATCCTCTAACTTCTTGTATTTATCGTCAGCTGGAGGATACTGTTCTTCAGAGTAATCAACCTCTTCCTCTTCTTCAGACTCTAGATGGTTATTTACTTCCTTTTTTTTCCCTTCTTGATTATCTCCATCACCCGACGAGGTTTCCAAATCTAGAGTTCGTCTGGCTGGTCCTTTGAACCTTCTTCCCAGATTCAAATCACTGGCTGGTTTCTTCGTTTTCTTTTTCTTCTCTTTGACCAGCAAAGCTTTCAAATCCTCTTGTCCTTTTTCCAGAGCCAATAACATTTGTTGGAATTGAGCGTTATGCGCTTGTAGATCCTTTACTGTGTGTTTAATATCCATATCACTGAAATAAATGGTAGAAAGATAAGGATACTTGTTGTAAGAAACCTATTTGTGTTATGATGAATGAAAATGCATATGCAAATGATTTCAATGAAGTTTAGAGATTTAAATTTTCTTAAGACAAAAAGGAACACACGTTGCATTAATAAATCCAAGTTTGAGTACAACATGCCTTTTTGGGCTTACAATGAAAGAAATAAAATACAAAAACTTCTAAGACAAAAAGGTTGAATGCATCCTCTTTGGCGCGATGTAGGCGTTTAAACGCCGCTCTTCATGAAGCTGCTTGGTGAATTCCAAAACTTTCTTCTCACTGGCATAGAATTGGGCTTCGAAAGTGTCTCGCTCTTCCTTTAGTTGAATCCAATCCCTTTGCAAGTCTTCGAGAGAGGTAGGCATGTTGGGATGAAGGACAGTATACGGGAAATCTCCTTCAACAACAGGCTCTATGATAACAGGGAGAACGAAGGGGTAAGGCATTACGAGACTCTGAGCACGAGTACACACCCACCTAAGGTAAGGCTTAAGGGGAATGGAATTTTTGTGTCCCAATGTCCTACTATCCACCTTGTTTACCATCCTCCAAGATCATATAAACCTCTGACGGTAGCCTTGATCACCGCTTTCATAGTAGAACACCACAAGGTTTGCAAGTGATACCTCCCCTAATGCCAAGCAAAGGGACGTTAGAGAATTCCCCACAACGGTCGATGATAGTAATGTCCTCCAAGGATCGAGAACACCAGTGGATATCTGAATGTCTGAGTGACATCAGCCTATTGGACTATCTCAAACCTTGCTCGGTCTTCACAACGGATTGGGGGAGATGCGAAACAAACCATCTATCCAATAGAGGAGTACAACACATGAGGGTTCCTCTTCTCTACATTGTGCGAGAGTGGAGAGAGTGCAAGATATCTCCCAACAAAGTAGGAACTGGATTGTGAGATAAAAATATTTTGACAGCATTCACGTCTATAAGTTGACCAGGATTTGGAAATAGTACCAACCCATAGATGAGAAGTATCAAAATTTCTTCAAAAGCTCGTAAATCCAGAGTATTCCAAGAGTCTTGAGCTTTTTCCAAAAGGAACTTGGCTAAGAACCCTTTGACACCACTTCTTGTTTCCTAATTAGTCATG